CCTAGAATTACACGATTACTCATGACGTGTTTTATCTATGCATATATAAGGGAAGTAATGGATTGTTGAATTTAAACTGGTATAATATGAGTTATAATTTCATATTGGACTTTAATTGTATATTGCATACCATTGGAAGGGGGTGCTATAGCGTCTAAATAATTTCATGCCTTTCCGTTGAAACTCCTATAAGTGCAATATAATAGAGATATGCAGATCCAATGGGGAATAGCGTGAAATGGTGGGCCGTCGGGTCTAGATGGCTTGTCTCATAGTTACTTTATTTCTGTGAATGCGTCCTCATGCTCATCCTTTTTGGGAGTGTGTTCTCCGATTTTCGAATATCTTCACGAGCATTCTCCCGCACGACGCATTCTTCCTGTGTATGTTCTCTCATGTTTTTGCATTTTTATAAGTGTATTAATTCATATCGCAACTTGTTTGCATATCAATCCGCATGCTGCCTAGTGCCTGTCGATGGGCGCTCGTGTTGTATAATTCTCATGAGGGTTCTTTCCATATTTCTGCATTTTTATGAGAGTATTTTCTCCTTGCGCCTCTTTCTTATATATGCCTCTTCATGTGGCCAAATTTTGAGAACATCGCTTCACATGGAATAATTTCGCGAGCACCGTCTCATGTTGCCTAATTTCGCGGACGTCGTCCCACGTGGGGTAACTTCACGAACGTCGTCTCACCTGTGGTAATTTTGTGAAGGCACTTCCATGTGGCGTAATTTCTGCGAACGTGGTTTCATGTGGCGTAATTTTCCGCGCAGGCCCCTTTATGTGGCGTAATTTTTTGCGCACGCCCCTCTATATCGTGTAATTTTTCCCGGTTTTGGCCTCAGGTGTCTTAACTTTGCTAAGGTTGTTTCATGTGGATCAATTTCTCAGGGTGTCGTTTCATGGGTTATATCGGCCGAACGCGTGCTGTTCTGTTTCGCCCCATTATATATATCTCTCTATTTATCTTCTTCATGAGGATACACTTCTCTGCGGCATTGCTTTGACGAAATCCTTTTGGAGGGTTTGTTTATGATGACATTTCCTGCAGCATTCCTATGAAGATACCACTTCTCCATACATTCTTATAAAGATGACTTTATCTTTTGCCCCCTTATGACGATTCCTTCCGCGTGTTGTTTTCATGATGCCTTCTTTTTCCTGCAGTTTTCAGATGCTTCGCCTTCGAGTCATTGCGCTTTTTTTTGGTTTCCTCATGGTGATGTGTACTGTTTTGCTGCGACAGTGTGATGCTCTCTTTCTGTTTGGCATTTCTTTAAGGATTCCTATATTTCGCATGTCACTATAATAATGCTTCCCTCTTTTTCATTTCTACATAGCTACATGCTCCTTGTTGCGCCAATGTGAAGATCTTTCTTTGTTTGGTATCTTTTTCAGGATGATATTCCCTGTTCCATTTTTCTCAAGTCTCTTTTTTTTAGGTGTTCGATCAAGAGGTATCTTTCCTGTGGGGAATCCTTCTTCACAAAATTCACTTTACCGCGTTGTACTTTTAATATATTCTTTCGCTCATCATTCTTATAGAGATGGTTCCTTCTGCTTTGTCACTATGAAGATTCCTGTTTGAGTCTCATTTCTTTCGTGACGATAGTTTTATTCTCGGGTGGCCTTAGGAGGTTTCTCCTTTCACGTCATTTTGAGAATTCTTGCTCGGGTTGCATTCCTCCTATGAAAATTTCTCTTACCGCGCTATATTTCTGATATTTTTCCCTTTGGCTCTTTTATAAAGATGCCTCCTCCTTCTATCATGTAACCCGGAAGATATTCTTCCGCGAGGTTTCCTTTTTATGAAGATATTTCTTTCCGCGGCACTCCTTATGATGCTATTCCGCAGCGGCGGCCTGAATATATTGTTTTGTGTCATCCCCTCTATATTGCTGTTTCCTGCTGTTGCTGCATTGTGAAGATGTTTCCTAGTGTGTGTAATTTTTTCCACGATGATGTACCTTCCTTCGCGGCGTTTTGGAGATGTCCTTTCCTTTCTGATTTTCTCTATGAAGATGCCCCTTCTCCGGGACATGGTAAAGATGCTGTTTCGTTTTTTATTTTTTTTATGAAGATTTCTTCTTCTCCTGCTAGCTGCCCGACATTTCCTTGTTTCTTCCTTCTGAAGATATTTTTTCGCCTCGATTATTGTGAAGAGGCTTCTGAGGTCACATCATTGTGAAGGTGCCATTCTTGGTGCATCATCGCTGATATGTTATACTGTATTTCATCCTTCTTTATTAGAATTCTTTCTTCCGTAATATTCTGATCGACCTATTTCTCTCTCTCTCTATGTGGAATCATTATGAAGATATTTATCTTTCTTGTCTATTATCGGAAGGCCCACATATGTGAAGTATAAATAGCATGACCATACTGAGGTGGTAGCATTACTAAACATGAATAATCTATCGATGTTTGAGTAGCCACTGTTATCCCTGGTTTATTATTGCTTTAAAAGTCATGATGTGCATGGAATACTATTATTTGAAAAATAGTCTTACGTGGATAATACTGTTATTTGAGAAGCGCACTCGTGTCAAGGGTACGGATATCCTGAAGTATCATTGTATGGAACGTACCCATGTGCTCGTAGTAATGATATATGCTAAGTACTGATATGCTTATTGTTTCGTTACTTGAAAAGCAGAAGCCTTCCAGGGGTATTCCTCTTTGCAGAATAGTCATGTGCATCTCTAAGGGTACTGCAGCGCCAGTATATACCTATAATGCTCTTATAGGAAGGGTACTGATGTCCATGTAGTAGTTTATGCAATGGATTCAGAGTTCACCCCTCCATTACATGAAGGACATTATTCTATGAAGGGCATTCATATTCCACGGAAAATATTGCCTGAAGTGTGCTGATCTGTAGGCATTCTCAATGAGGAAGATTGCTGAACTTCCCTTAGTATACTCTTATTTCAATGTATTAATGGATGAACTATAGTAATATTTTGTAGAGTCCTGTTGTCTGTAGAGTGGAATCGCATAAGAATAATGGATAATCTGGAGCTATATTAGGTGACCCCTCTTACCTTTCTGTAGTATACTTATGCCCAGAGGACGGTTGTGCAATGATAATGCATGTTTCCAAAGCAGGATTATTTGAAGGGTTTGGATATACGGAAAGTGCTTCTATATAGAGGGCAGTATTCTATTAACCGTAGGAATATACCAGGAGTAGTATATAAGAAGTTAGAAGTATATGCCCCGAATATTACTATGAGGTGGATAGAACATTGAACTCTTCGTTATTTGAATACAACCATTGTTCATACTGCACGGATGTCTTCTAATTTGCGGTGCTCTATTTCTGAAAGGGTTAAAATCCCCGATGTGTTATAAAGACATCACAGTGTTACCAAATTCTGTGACGTTTTTACCGTAGCACTCCTTGAGGAGAAGCGATATCCTAAAAGTAGTAATATATGCAAAGTATTGTCCTCCCTAGAATATTATTGGGGCTGATAACATTAATGTTACGAGGATATCTTTGACAGGAGGATACGAATATCCATAACATAAAAAGCAGTTATCATATTAGGAACGGGAGGAAAAAAAAGGAAGTAGAACAAATTCCCAAAATGAAGTTTATACCTTGAGGGTACTGCCACATTGAGCACAAGTCTCAATTTCAGAGGAAGAAGAAATATATAGGGTAAAACCGTATAAATGACTTAAAAATATTAACAAACATGGTCAAGAAGCAGCAACCGAACATGGGAAGGAGAAATAGCAAACTAGAACCAAAAAGGACAAAGGTAACTTAACAAATAAGAGTGCCTAAAGCAATGTTAACAGAGAAGAGATCAACCCAGAAGAAGGGAACTAGGAACGGCAGAAAACAATTACAGTCACATATGAGATGGGATGTTCACCTGGCCCAATATGCCATCAAATAAGAGAGGAGTTTATTGCCAACTTTCATGTCTCAGAATACACGCGATTATCCGCGGTTAGCGAGGAAGACATATAAGTACGAAATTTTTTACATATATTAATTGGTGTTCTCAATTTTTTCCTGTCTGTATTCAGCGTTATGTCCAGAGTTACAAACTGTACATCTCTATTTGTTGCCCCAGTATGTAATATCCTATGATACCCTTTGTGATTTTATGCCTGAAAATATATAACTGTTTAAAATAGATTTATTTCTTCTTTGAAGTTTTAGAAGCTTCCTTAAAACATATTTTGTTCTTGTAAAGATATAACGCACTTTCCGATGTAGATTCGGGGAGAGTTATAAAACTCGGTGTCTCTACGGTTATTGTAAAGGTGTCCCTTCTTGTTGTATCTAAAATCGTAATCATAAGATATCTATGTTGACTGCCAGGGTCATTACTGGTCAGAGGTGTGACATGAAAGTTGTTCTGTTACCTGTATATTATCTAATGCCCTGATTTCGAATATAAGGATTCCAATCCTTTGGATCGCATTACTCACATGACTTTGATTTTACTTTTTTCTATTCCTTTGCAGATTATGAGCAAAGTAGCTATGAAAATAATGTCTTAAGTTTGAAGAGTCCTCCACCTTCTTATCTATAGAACTATTTTGGCAGTAGGGAGACTCATTAAAAATGAATCCATCAGATCATCCGCCGTTTTACTCATCTAATGTGTGGCTAAATTGCGGCGGAGTGTTATATATAATTCCAAGGTTCACGGTTTACCAATCGCGCATAACCCATATTGTTAAAGAGAAATGCGGCACAGGAACAAAATTATATGTAATATTAACAGGGACGGGTTTGACTCAGAATGAAAGAACAAGAAATTAACGAATATTCCTACATAAAATGAAGCTTAAGGAAGAAAGCAGAAAGAACAAAACAGGCGGAATGTACAGGAACATATAAACATGCAAATCCTACACATAAGCCTTGAGCGCACCGATAGATAGGTGCAGAAGAAGAATAATGCATTTGCAGGAGTCAGACTACATTTAGGGCAGGTGCTGGAATTCTAATGTAACCAGATTCTATGTTCTTTTAAAGAATTATTGGCAAATGACATACGCATTTGACTGAAATTATTCGCCAATCGCGACTATATTACTTTAAAGTGAGAATTTCCATCAAGATGAACTAGGCATCCACTGAAATATATCTGCAAATACGCTGTCTTCCCCATAATTCCAAATTTTTTGTTCCCTTCCCGCAGGGTACAGATATTCTTAAAGGATAGAATATGCAACTAGTGAGATCGCAATGAACACCAGAATTTAAGGATAAGGGATAAGTTGACTCGGCTTCCATATTTGTGTGCATTGTTAACAGCTATACACGTGAAGTCCTGTCGTACGCTTCATGAGTTTTATCTTGTCTTATACTTCAAAGTTACTATAAGGTGGATTCTGAAATCTAACAGGCATCATATCCTCCGTTATGATGTGCTCATAATGAATGCCCTAATATATATAGCTATGACATTACAACAGGGGAAAATTTTAACTGGCCGCCTAACAGTATGCAATATCCCGAGTTTATCCCTTCGTCCAAATACAAGTCGACATCAGCAATATGCAAATTTTAACCTTATTATAAAATTTATGGCTTCGAGAGTTGGTTCATACGGCGTGTAATGAATGTATTGACAATATTCTTCTTTATCCAGAATTTATAATCATAAGAGATATATCCTATTTTTAATAGGTAACGTATTTATGGATTAAGCTGGGGAAACAATGTAAGAACATTATGAGGACCTATACGTCTCTTACTTATTTTCACCAGATGTTATAGAATGATTATTCACCTATTTCATCTCTACACTACCTATGTTTCCGTGATTTAAACTTTTAACAGTCTTCTAATGAGTATGTTGATCGCTGCCTGTTTATTCGTAGACAATTAATTGCAAGACAGAAGCTAATATTACAGGAACCCTAAATACTATTATGAGTATAATCAAACTTTGTATTATTTCCATATATTTTTTTATTCAATTATCTACTTTGGCTAATAACTGAAGTAGTCAAATCCAGAACGAGAATATCTGAGATTATACATCCTTTTCTCAAACAGTGGTAAGAGAAAACCTAATATATATCCGATAGCCAGATGCGTATTAGGAGCTGTCGTCATAAGGAATAATATAATTACTTGCGTATAAGTGTCTATATTATTATATCTGATATATTATGGTGCAATATATTTATAAGAGCTGTTACAAGACAAGTTCCAAACCAAAAACGAAAGAGAATATAATACAGTAATCAATATATTACTTCGGCCTCCAGAGGTTAAATATAGTAGGCCATAGATACAGCTCATTCTTTACTAAGATTATGAAATTGTTAAATAACAAACCGTATCATCCAAATGTCCTTTCTTGATATCCCCTAAATCACAGAACATGAGTGTATAACCAACGTGACACACAATCAGAGGAGTCCAATGATTAAGTTAATAACCTTAGCAGTGTAACCTCGGTCTATAATCCACAAAAAAAGATAATCGAACGGGCGAATACCCCAGTCATATAAATTATTGAGTAATGTATGAGCGGCTCCCTTAATCCATATGTATATTTATCAACTGGTAGTGTAGTCAGGGATATAACAAATCTTATCTATGACATACTTGCCTCAATTTTATAAATCATAACAACAGAAGATACTCATGATAAGAATATGGGAAAAATCATAATGATCCAAGCCACTATAACGTGTCTATATATTAATTAGTGAGTATGATTAAGCAAAATCTTTATATTGAATATTTTATATATAGGAATGTGTGAGCGATGATTAGAATAGCTAAATACAGCCATAATAATTATAGGATTTATGAATTGAATGAGCAACAGAAATATGCTAAGTGTTGCCTATATTAGAAATTATTGGTTAAGCAGAAGGAAAACACAGTAAGGTAAAGGGGAACCTGTGGCTTATTTACTCAGTATGTTAAGATTTTATAATATAATTAGGGGGAGTTGAGGAGAAAATTCATGACGACAAGAATATATCACTAATTAAACAAGGATTACTAAGAGTCCGAAGCAATCTATTTCTGTCATTAGTTAAATGATATGCATCCTACCGTAGCCGAAGACTCTAATATAATAATCATTTGTGATAACTACGATTATAGTTGAGGTGTTACCTCTCAATGAAGCCCAAATTTGAGAAGACTGAGTATTATCAGATATGTAAAAGAGGCAAAGGGATATAATAAATTATTTATAATAATGAACAGAGTTATCTGATCCCAATAAAATTCCTGACGACTGCGTCATGAAGGATATACAGGCAAGGAAAGGACAGATCCACGGTAGTAGTAGGGATAATCCGCCAAGATATGGAGTGGATTATATGCACACTCAGATTAGAGCTGATGTAAAAAGGGAGAACAGTAATCTAGTCTAGGAATAATGTATAGAGGAGGTTATCGTAAGAATAAGAGACAGGCCTCCCTAGTCGCAATTAATTTAACTGAAATGTGGGAGTGTCTATTTGAATAACAATATATAAGTGACTATTGGTTCTTCTGAGGATATTCCAAAGTACCAGGAAGTTTACCCATGGGAAGGTGGAGGGTCGTAGTAAGAACATTTAGATGTTATGATGAGCAGAAGTACCTTCCAAGAAAACTCCAACGGAAAAAAGTAGCCAGATCTAGACAACAGCTATGAGAGTGATCTACAAGACGATCTAGTAGTAAGATGACGAAACCCCCCTAACTCAGGAAAACTAAAAAATAAGAGGAATAATTGATTACGACAGAGTAGACACCTAAGTAGACCAGGACTAATTGGCTGATGTCATTTAAAGGATGCATATCACATATTGATTCCAGTCATAACAGAAAGAATCTTCCGAAACCCCAGGGCGTGGGCAAAGGATGACAGAAATCCCTTTAAAGGGGTTTTACCTCATCTTCCAAATTAAAAATATATATTCCACGAAGGAGCACGAAGGAACCTCAAGGGAGGCCAATAACCGAAGGGGGCGGAAGGGACACTCTACAGAAAAAGCAAACCCCGATTAAATAAGTAGACCCCGATTAAATAAGTAGACCCCGATTAAATAAGTAGACCCCGATTAAATAAGTAAATCCCGATTAAATAAATAAACCGCTACTAAGGTAAAATATGAATTAAGTCATATGGGCGGCATGATGAATTATAGGGGGGGGTCAATTCAGGTCTAAACCCGGGTCAAGGGAAAACCAGTCATTAGAGGCTCACGCCAAAGGGAAGTGAATATCCCGTTAAATTAGTAGTAGAGGTATTTGCAGTCCCCTTATTAAGACAGGAGAGGATCAAGAAAAGGTCAAACTGAGGAGAAGGAAAATCAAACAACACAACGAGCAGGCACGAAGTCGAATTATTGGCATATAGCCTCAATAGTGTAAAGAAGGAAACTAATAGCAGCGGGAATCAGTAGAGTTGAAGGAATAGTGAATCCTCATAAAAATACGTTTGCAATCCTTTACAAGGATAAGAATAAACACTTAAGAGGGGGATTCTGAATCGACGAGTCAATTGAGGAAGCCCTACATAACTTCCCAAAACGGACAAGAAGTTCTAAGATGTAGGTAAGTAAAAGTTGAACCCAAGAATGACTCAGCACACAAACACCCAAGGGAGAACCAAAGTACATGCCAGTGTATGATGGGAATAGTGAAGCTAATGTTCAGTATTCCTTTCACCCAGGGCATGTAGAAGGGCATGTCAGACGAAGTAGGTACTAGCCCTTGCCCATACAGCCGAAACAAACAACCAACTGGAACAGGAAAGTCAAGTAACTCACCAGAGAGACTGAAATATTAGAAGGAAGCAGAGGTATATAAGAAATAGGAGTAGGCAGCCCATAATAGTAAGTACCACAACCCACAGACAATGCGGGCACACATGACAGGAAACAATGAGGGAAGGAAAAATTGGAATTATTCCACAGACTACCCAGAAAATGCTGAAGCATCAGAAGATCAATGAACACAGTGACCTAGGAAGTACATAACTAATCAAAGAACCATTCGGTCAATGCCTAAAATCTACAAAAATGACAAGAGAAGGATGTTATGTCATAAAAGGAAGGACACCTAGGGGGAAGAAATATAAGCGTATGATCCAATTCCAGGAAGCAAGTGTCCTAGAGTTCAAGGAATGAAAGGGAGTATGCCGTACCGAATCAACCCCTCAGTGCTTACTCCAGAATTAGTAAGGCAGAACTCAGCAGTTGATACGCAGGAATCGAGGATCAAGGTTACGAGGGACCGAGAAATGGGGAAACAGGCGGCACCCAAGGGAGTCCATTAGAATAAGGTCATTCAGGAATCGAAAATTTCAATAAGGAAGACTCCAACACGGAGGTCAAGGAAATCCAGATAATTCGGAAGCGATTTCGTCCCCCAATTGGCAGCCAGACAGGTAATATTTACAAGTGGTATCCAGAATATGAAACCGAAAGAAAAGCTAAGAAAGCTAAGCGATGGAGTACAAGTGGAAAACAATGAAACCTAGTAAGAAGTCATAGAATGGATAAGTGGTGGTTCAAGTGACCAATCCACAGGGATAGTCAGCGGACTAGCGAGCGAACTTTAAGTCAGAGAAAATGCCTTGAACTGCAAAGAAAAGAGGAGCAGCAGACTATGAATCTAGCACAAATCCAGAGACACAAATGAATGAAGGTTTCTCAGGAGTTTTGGACGCCGAAAGCAGCCAGAGTCCCTGCAGACAACAGAGGAGAAACATAGAGGAGGGAGCGACAAGCAGGGTGCCACTCCAACCCAAAAATTTATTGTGGATACCCTTTTGGGACAGCACCCTAGGACTCAGAAGGAAGAACCCAATAGCAAACAGAGGGATTCTATAGGTATGTTTTAAGAGATCCCAGCTAATTCTTCATACCGGAAACCCCAAATAGCAACACTTCTGAGAGGACTCATACAACCTGAATAAGCAAGCCGCCTAACAAGTCATGATTAGCTATGCACGAATGCATATCTATGTAATTCTGCAACTCGACTAATCCGCAAGAGACGTCTTATAAGCACTAGAAATGTATCGGAGAATATAAAATTGGAGAATCAAGAACACTATGCAAAAAACCAGACCCCATAGAAGTAAACGCCCGCAAAACATCAGTGACAACAGCACATAGGAGAACAATAGTTTAAGAAAGCATCAATTATCCAACAAGACCCTTCATTTGAGTAATATTAAACACAGGAGAGAGAAATGCGAAAATCCCCACCCCAGGGGTTATGAAGCCTAAGTGCGATGAAACTTGTAAACTGTAACATTTGGCATCTTCAAACCAGGATGGAAGGTAGGGTAGAGAACAAGGGAACGTTTAAATACAGGATCATCCCTAAAAATCAAACGAAGGCTCCAACCAAGCAAACTATAAAAGTGAGGAGCCGAGTAATACTAAGGACGAGAAGAGCAAAGGAAAGTGTCTACCTCCCAAGAAACAGCGATATAAGGGAAAGTAGAAGGGACAACTCCCTGGGTTGGGCGCAGTAGGAAAAATTTAAGGAGGCACCTAAGGACGTGATAGGAATCAGGACTCAGAACCGTTTTTAAAAAGAAAGGAAGAAACGAGGAGTAAGGGGGAAGGCAAATGTTTGAAAACCAATTAGTGAACAAGCCAACGGAAATATAGAGAATCGGGGAGAATACTCGAATATACAGGTAAGAGGCCAACAATAATGTTTGGGAAGATAGAAAACTTAATGTTATAAAGTGGCCATAAATTAAAGGCTAGATACAGTCAACCCTAAGGACGGATAGGAGACATGAAAATTCCAAAAAGAGAACAACAGGATCAAGTCAGATTTTGGCTAACGTGAAGAATAAGGAAATAGGACCCTATAAAGGGAGAATTCCTAAACTATTACACTGGGAATAGTTAAGGAATGGTAAAAATGGACACCGGGGAAATAAATACTAACAGACAAAGACACAGAGAGAGAGTACAGGAGTCTACAATTCTTAAGTTACACCACAAATTCCAATTCTACGAAACAGCTGGAGGAATATGGAGTGGAGTCATATATATGAAGCAGAACCGGTGAAGTCAAAAGGGAAGCCAAGCCAGAGGTAGAAGTAAGAAATCCCGAATAAAAGGGGACAAAACAGGAGAAGACACGGGTACATGAAAGTACTCCAGGAACAATATGGTCGGTGGCGAGTAACAGGACAAGATGTTTAATGGATCTGGAGGATGACTGAAGATCAACCGCCTACGGCATAGCGTCCCCAACCATAGCCTTGGAAATAGCACACACCAGAGTAATAAGTCAGGAGCCGCGGCCATTGAGATAACCTGATGGTACCACATGCAAAAAACAGGTGAGTGAAAAGACTCAATAGAGACAGGCGGCTATGCCTGCGTCTATATAAAGTACCGACCGCTGGGGAAACTGGCAATGGAAAAAGGAACAAAAAGTACAGAGAGCTCCTCCGGGCGTATGGGGCGCCACCCGCCACCAACCCCCAAGGGATCCGAAGAGCCCCAAAGGGGGAGGATATGGATGAATCTGAATGGGTAAGCAGTGTACGCAGATCGTTTTTTGACGTCTAATATATTTAGAAGTTTCAGGCAATGACAGTAGGGACCCCAAACCAAAAAGAAAGGAGGCCTACTGGCGAGGTAAGATCTAGGCTAGAGTACCAGCAAGCTCCCGCATAAAGATTAAATAATTTCTGACTGACAAAACTCCGACTCACAAGAGACCTTATGAGGCAGTGTTTCGGTTTCGACAGGACAAAACAAGGCGGAAGCAAAACTCCCAAGAAGAAATAAGTACCCCCAGAAACACAGGCACTCCGAAGGGGGAGTACAGGCGAAAGAGACAGCCGGAAAACGTAATGGAAGGGACAATGAGCCTGCGGAGGACAACAATAACAAAACGGGAGAGGAAGGTCATAACATGATATAAAATATGTGGAAGATGACTCCTCCCACGAACCAAGTATGAATTCAGTAAAGCTATGAATACTATGCCGAAATCCGCGCGCCACAGGAGATCAGTATCCGTGAGCCAGGAATTCCGTACCGAACAACAAGGAAGATATACCATGGGGCAAGGAACGCTACCCAAGTTAAAAAGTTCGTGAATCGTCAACATCCAAGGAAAAAGTGAGGAAGACTCAAAACCTAGCAGGGGCCGAGAATCAGACCGGCGTTAATCACATGGCGCAAGAAATAAGGACACCGAAGGATTCCAAACATAAGGCATCCCATAGGGGATCCCACCACGAATCTTAGCCCGTGGGGCGTCTGGCAGGAAAGGAGTAGCAGACCCAATATAAGAAAGGGCGGAGCACTGAGAAACGATATGCAAGTTAAGACTATGAGCTGTGGAAATAGTATCTGAGGTAGCCCCCCCTGGAATAATTGGAGCCGGGTATAGCGCTATACATAAAACAGATATTAGTGCCTAAACGTGGCCGGGCCGAAGGTCTAAGCAGAACCTTAAGGAAAAGAATTTCAAGAACGTAGGGAGTCTGTGGCCGTACAAGAGAAGGAGCAGGAGGAGACGGGAGGAAAACGCCGAAGACCAATAAGCGGTTTCCAGGATAAGTCCAGGGATTAAACAATTGGAGCATAGAAGTAGAAACGATTCTAGGTCGGAGAAATCCCAGCAGTACCCAAAGGAACCCGAGGAGGCCTAGGATCGAAGGAAGTAAGACCAAGGGGGGAATAGACGGCGCCGTATGAGATCAAACACCCATAAGCAGTGGGACCTTTGTGCAGTCTATAAGGCCTGCGTCGGAAACAAAAGAGGAATGACATGTAGAGTATAATCCTGAGGAAGGGGCGAGGAGTAAGATGAAAACAGGTTCGAATGATCCCGACAAACAGCAGACACAGGCCAACGTCAGGGGGAAGGGGATATGGAAACAAAAGGAGGTGACCTAACATTCAGCACTAAGAGGGGCCGTGTAAGGGGATTGGAGAAGTTTCTACAATTGAGTAGATTTCTATTAAGCAACGAAGAAAGGGGAAAACCCCTCAGACATCGCGCGAGATGAACGGAGTAGGGTCGACAACCACAGGCCCACACAATAGGGAAAGGACGCCAGCGTAACCTGTGGTATGATAAAAGGGACGCCTGATCTCAATTTCGGCAAGTCATCAGGGGCAAGGAAGTATGCACTTCCAACAACAGGAACTAACGAGACAACAGAAAGGCAAAACAAAAACAGAGCCTAGGACACTCAAAGGGCTCCGGACGCGTAACCAGGGAAGAGGTAGGAAAAACACTGCAGGTTGCGAGGAGGGTGTACCGGGGGACGATAAGGTGCATAAGATCCATATGGGGACGGTCTGGGTGTATGTGCGTAAAAGAAATAGGGATAAACCCAAAGCAAGCATGGAGGAGGGAATCAGAGCCCACGGGAACACTGAAACTTGGGAGTCCAGCAAAACCAAAACAACATGATGCAGCCTCTCCTGGGAGCAGGCACAAGCTAAGGAGGGTTGAGGGGGCCGTGGAACCGCAGAAGGTAGAAGTACAGCAGCGAAAGTGCACACATCCCCAAGGACCCCCAGGACCATCAGTTTCTGGGGCAGAGGGCTGCAGTGCCGATACGGGACCAGGCGGACTCAACAGAATCAGAAACTATCCGTAGCAACCGGCGTCTTATAAGTGAATTGTTAAACGGAAATGTGCATACGCGGAGAGGTCAGGAAACAGGCGAGATAGCATATGAGCCGACGAAGGGCAGGTTAAGCTGAAGTATGAATTTCTGAAGGAGGGGGAATAAAGGACCCACTTATACAACTTCCGGGGGGGTGACCGAAGTATGATCGTGCAACCAAATGGAGGGAGGAAGCTCGAATTTGTGTCATTGCATGAACTGGAAAAGACGCCCCCTATGGGAGTCCCCCCCCCGACAACATCGGAAGGGGGCCCTTATGCGACAAAGGGAAGATATTTCGGCCGTTACCGGGAGGGGGATAACAGGGTATTAGAAGCTGGACCATTCGCGGGACCTCCCTTCAGAGAGGGGAGAAGCGTCCAAGAAGACCCAAGAGGTCGAGCATATCTATAGCTGCCACTGGAGTAGCGTAAGACCAAGAGGACAGGGAGCACGAGAACCCAAGCATAAGCTAAAAGGGTCCTAGGCCAGGACAGCAGGATGAAGTGACTGGGGGGATAAAAGTGAAGGGGAGCGAAGGCCCCCCCCCCTAAGAACAGCAAGTAGAGGAAAGACCGGGAAATAGGGCGGAGAGGAGGATAGAATTTAGGAAGGGAGAAGTTACATGCAAGGGGAAGGAGTATGATCAGGATAGTCAGAGGCTGGGCGCGGAACTTGGGGGGAAGAGAGTGTAGAGGGAGTAAAGGGGATGGCCGAAGGAGCGCAAAGATTCAGTTAGGATTGGGAGGAGAAAAGTGACGAAGGATTGAGTGAGGAAGGGGAGTGAGAATAGGGTGGAAAGGGAAGGGAAGAATAATGTCAGGGGGGGGGGCTCCGGGAAACCTATGAGGGGCCTAGCAGACGAGATACATGACCGTGGTATAGGAATCCCGTACTGAATCGGCGCGGGGAAAGGAGAATGACGAGGCCCCACCACAAAACTCCAGCGGCAGAAGGGAGGGTACAGTCCCCAAGGAGACATACAGCCGTGAGGGGAGGGGAGGAAATGGTTTGCAGGGAAGGGATCAAGGAGGGAAAGGGGGGGAAACCGAGGAGGGACAGGAAACGGACTGAAGGGAGAATCCAAGTAGCGAGGGACGCGAAAAGCCAGAACAACAAAACGAAGAGACACCAAGATCAGGCGAGCCACTGATCGAGTGTACATCGGCAAGCGGCCCTGAACCAGAAACCCGAGGGCGGAGTTCCAGCGACTTACCGGAAAAGGATCAAAAGTGGTAGGGGCGACAAACTGAGGATAATTGATAAAGTTACGGGATATTCTAAAAGGAACAGGGAACTTCTGGAGGCTAACGATAGGGAGGCAGTCCGAAGAATGTCTAACGACCAGTGGCCGAGATTGATGGCATGGGCAAGGAGCAGGGTAGAAGGAAGCCCGGAACCACCAACGGGACGGAACGGGTGTAATCCGGGGAATATGAACAGGTTCTGTTATAATATGAGCCGTGGGGGTGGAAGGAGTAGATGGGCTGGTTTACGAGAGTGGTTCAATCGAACAAACCATCAAGGAAGTTTCCCTAAATGGAATAGCGACTTGAAGGACCAGCATGAAACGGGTCTACAATACAATCATGATCAGGGAGGCGTCAATTGGAAGGATCTGGTCAATACAGTATATAGGCAAGTGGAGAAAAATCTAAAGGCAAGCGAGACAAAGGAAGAAGCGGGGAGTCACTTGTGGCGAAGCCCAGAGTGGAATCAGGTACTCGAGGGGACGGAGAGTACCAGTTGGGATGATAGCCCCAAGGGACAGATGTTATTGATGATTTGTGCATGTGTCATAAAAGGCATATATCAACAGGGAACCAGACACCACCTAGGAAATAATTCACATCAGGATATCTGTTCTCCAGTCCATGAGATGTTAGCCCAGCCCAATGACTTATGGCAAAAGTATATGATGGAACCCGAAACGGAACAGGCACCTTGGTCTAAAGGGGGATGCAGTAGTACCGATAAGTATCAAGGATGTGGAACCCCAGCAAGCAGTTTAATAATTACCATTGCTAGCGCCTTGAGGAGAGTATGTCCTGGATGCAAAGCCCTGAGGGTAGGGGGCTGGATAAGGACAGGCAGGAGAGGGAGCCAGAGGAAGTCCTTATATTGCAATATCAAAGAAGGTAGGATACAATGCGCATCCAACAGCTCGGGGGACGTCTCCAGCAGCATCTGGGTCAGGGAGGAGGATTTTGGGTTATTATTACCAAAACAAACACCCAAGCCCCCCAGCCCCTCGCCGGGCCTCGACATCTCTCCAACCACCAACAAGGAGCAGGACATCAAAGATTCTCAGCCTACCTCTGATGAAACCCCGAATGTATCATCCTCCGAAGACTCCCCCAGGACAGGAGAGCAATCCCAACTGGCCAGCAATGCATCCCAGGGATCAGGGGATCCTGGTAAAGGCGCAACAGGGGAAAAGGCCCCCCAAGGGGGGACCCATACCGAGCAGGCGGGTAGAGGCCAGAGACAGGGGGAAAACATTGGGCAAACTGCGGAAAGAACAAATGACGTACCTGAAGGAGCGGCATCCCAGTCGGAAGGGAAGGCCGAGAAAAACATGGGAACGAAGGAAAAGATTGCCATGTTGGAGAAGGGGGAACCGAAGATAACCCAGAAACCAGAGAAGGGGAGTGCGGAAATCGCCACGTCCAGCTGGGTTGATTCTGCAACTGGCGGTATCATAGGTACAGTGTTAGCACTATGTGCTATATTTGGTATATATAGGATTTTTGGCGCGCCAAGAAAGAAAGGAACACGGCAACGGATTACGCCGGTGCGGGGAGGGACAGCTGTAGCTTATGGGGTGCTATGAAGAACAAGGATTCTTGGGTCATATGGGAGTCCCAGAGAAATCGGACAATTGCGATGAGCCCCTGCATAAGCGCCGCGCTACACCCCGTGGACAACGTTACACAGCGGCCTTAAGGACTACCAATTCCAGGAACGAGAGGACTTGGGGGGAAGGGCCGAATTGCGGTATCTATTACCGATTCTTGCGGAGTCCGGGGTTATAGCGGGATAGTGGGCAACCATTGGGCTTCCCTGGCAGGTGGATCGTAATTTGTGTCTCTGGGGTGCCCAAATCTTTCTTAATAACTGCGAATGCGAGGATTGGTGTTGGGAGTTGGAGTCTTTGAATTTACCGTCTACGCCTTAGTCTTAGGGTTAAGGATCCTTTCGTTAGAAGTTTCCCCTCCGGGTTTATGGTTTGCAGTCAAGATCGTCGCTTAGGGACTGACCGGTACGTCTAGGATTTATGCTATTGCGTTCAGTCTTCAGGTTTAGTCTTCATCCTTTAGAGCTGAGCTTTTAGTGTCCAGGGTTCAGGTTTCAGGGTTGGTTGGTCAGGATTGGGGAGTGCGGTTTCATGTATGGTGATGTAGGATTCGGGGGGTCCGGTTCATGAGTTAGACCCATGTCTTCACGTGTTAGACCTGCCGTCCGCTTCACGTCCTATGGTTTCGGGTTCAGGGTCTAGATGTCCGGATTCAGGGATTATGGTTTAGGGTTCCTTGTCTCTCTTCCATTGTTTACCCCCTACGGTTTAGCGCTTAGTGTTCACATCCGGGGCTTCACGTTCCAATCTTCCCTGCTTACCGTTTAGGCTTCAGGGTTTAGGGTCCACGGTTTATTGCTCATGGCTCACGGTTACGCTTAGGGTTTATTGGGTAGGGTTTACGATTTACGGGTTTCAGGGTTAGGGGTCCATGTTTCAGACTTCAGGCCTTACACTCCCAGGCTCCACCGTTCAGGATTCAGGAGCCACGCTCTATGCTCTCGTGTTCAGGTTTTATGGTCCACTCTTCAACGTTCACGATTCATCGTTCAGAGTCAACGGTTTACATTTGAGCGTTTAGAGTTCACGGCTGCGTCTGAGCTTTGGGGTTCTTGCCTTTGGGTGTAGGGATCAGGGCTTATGGTTCTGGGTTCAGCCCCTACTGGTTAATATGTCACATCTATGGTTCACGCTTCAGGGTCGTGGGACGTGGTTTTGGTTTAGGGTTCAGATTCCTGCGTATAGGGTTCCAGCTCTAAGGTGTACGCCTTAGCGTCTAGGTTTATTTCTAGTCCTCACGGCTCGATTGATTACCGCCTTATACTTTAGGGTTTATGTTTCAAGGTCCAGGATCCAGGGTTCCAGGGGCTATGGTTCAGGTTTTACGGTTTAGGTTTCACGGTTTAGCTTTCACGGTTTAGCTTTCACCGTTTAGGTTTCACGTTACCGGCTCCAGGCCCTAGATCTAGGGTTCAAACTTTAGGGTTCTGTGTCCACGGTTTACCTTTTAGGCCTTATGACTCACGGTTAAGGCTTCGGGCTTCGACGTGTTGCTTCCAGAATCCTGAGTCAAGGATTTAGAGGTTAGTCCTTATGGGGTGGAGTCTGCGTGCTAGTTTGCAGGTTATTGGATCTCGATTCCACTGATCACTTTTACGGTTTAGGATTTATGTCTAGCTCCTTCCAACCCCCTGGAGGGAACAGGCGCCATACGTTGCCCTGTTCTGTACTCGGGGTTATCTCTACTGTTCCTCATTATTATATATATTCACCTATCTGAACGGAATTTTGTACTAATATATTTGCAGACAACCCCACATGAGTTGCAAATGTGCTAGAGCGGTAGTTGCAAACAAGAATCATACGCGAAATTCCATGTTTATGCGATGTATTAATACTATCGTGCTGTATAGGGATATGCTGTTTGAGATATTACTGGTATTGTCATCTTAAATGTGGGGCTCTCTCCTATTTTATCTGTTGCAGTATTTAATGCAAACCTGTAAATGTATTGATGCATCAGGTGAGGTCTTAATAATAATACACTACCCTCTATAATTTACTTTACACATATATTTCCTTTCTATGTTATTGCAATGACTCTCTTCCTTCCGAGGAGTCGTATGTTCATGGTCTTTTACTTTATCTGTTAATTCTTCCGGAGAATATCCAAGTCATTAGGTAAGTAGAGGCAACCTACTTTGGGAATTAATCTTTCATCCTCTCATATTAAAACAATCATAGTATTACAGAATGATTCCTGTCGATTGGTAAATTTTTTCCGTTTTGATAAATTTATAATATAGGATTCAATACTAAAGCTGACTGTAATATAACATTTCAGATGTGTTCTGACCATTCAGAAGAGGAAGATGTTTATAATAAGATCATTCTTTCTTTCTTGTATGAGAATTTTTGCCCTATACAATTTATAGGTACAGATTACTTTGCCCTAATTATCTTTTGTCTTGAGGTAAGAGGCATAGGGAAAACAGAGATGAATATAACTATTACTGCAGACAAAGAATTACGACCCTTGCTGTTATAAATTATCGCATCCTTTATCATATTAGCTATGATGCATAGAGGAATTTATCATATTGTGATAAGCACTGATATCAAGGTACAAAATGTTGATTAATACTACGAACCCTCTTGTCTTTATTTTACACAGAGACTGGTAATTTTCTGTTGGAACAATAGAAAATCCTAATAAGTATATGGATCCATTTATATATGTATGTACATATCTGTAACTATTGCTGGATCACGTTCT